CAAGCATGTGATAATCACTGTTTCTGAACTGACAACATCTTTTTAAAAACAAGTTAAAATCATCTCATATATTTAATATGATGTAGAGTTTGATGGTTCAGTCAACTCCCTTTTTCTAGAATACTGACTTACCTGGCTCCACACAGGTTCTCTAAAATTACTAATTTTAGCACCAACAACATATACATTTTTCTAGGTGGGCATTTTGGTCAGACAAGCACCTACCTGATTGTTGATTGGATTTCTAAGGATACAAATTTGCATTTAGTCAAGAGCAGGTCCGGATAAAAGAATGTAATCTCAAACTGCTTATTATCAAATGATACACCTGGACTTTTCAGTTATAGTAATGCTATCCCTAGTTTAAGCAAAATGGTGTAAGTGCCTTCCTTTCTGATGGCTTGGCTTTTTAAAAGGATAAACATCAGACTATATAGAAGAATGGATAGAGTGCTTGTCATTCGTAAAATCCCCCTAAGATATTACTAAATTTTGGATAAACTTGGGTAGTAGGCAGTTTGAGATTGTCATAGTGCATTCAGGACCTGCGGTACTCTTGCTCGGGAAAGTCCATGGACAGAGGAGCGTGGCAGGCTACAGTCCATGGGTCTCAGAGTCAGCCGTGACTGTAACTAAACAGCAACAGCAGCATCTTACCATGAGGGTGCTCTGAGAGTGTCACCCGAAACAGGCTCTGAGTGCGCGTTTGCAAGGGAGGGGAGTGGGTGATGGGGGGAAAGATGGTTCCAAAAGAAAGATCTTCAAGACACCGATTTTCTTCACTTGCTATTTAAAAGAACACTGCTCGACATCCTATTTTCCATTTATAATAACATGCAGGCAAAATTTCGCATGAAGTGCAGCCTTGGCTAAGAAGAAAAATTAAAATATTTAGTTCACAAAGTCTCATGACCGTGTTCTGCACTTCACTTTTTCCATCAGAAAGCCTCAAGCCTACCATCTACTTTAATTTACGTTTACATCTTAAAATAACCATAGACTAGAATGTATTATGTCTCAAATTTTACTTTTATATTTATGACAGACCCTATCAAATCTTTGGGTAAAAGAAAGTAAAATCTTTTCTTTCTGAACTCATTTATTATACTTCAGCTCAGTTGCTCAGTTGTGTCCAACTCTTTGTGACCCCATGAACTAGAGCACTCCAGGCTTTCCTGTCCATCACCATCTCCTGGAGATTGCTCAAATTCATGTCCATTGAGTTGGTGATGTTATAGTTTTATTATAATATAGTTTATCATTATAATATAAATTATAAGACAGTTTATTATAGTTAGTCATTTCAATCACAGATATAAACAAAGATAATATAGTCCCTAAAACCAAAATATAATACATATAGAATTCACTGTTCATGTATTTATCTCTAAACAAAGCAAAGTTAACAATTTAACTTTCCAGACACTTAAGCTAAATTTATAAAGCACACTTAAAAGTAAAGACTTTGGATATAGAATATTAAATGGCATATAATTACCCAGCATGTTTGAACAGATTAAAATATTACCCTGTCTTTCTACTGTCAAATAAATATGGAATTCCTTGTATGGGGCTTATCATCAAAGCAAATGCTTCATGCTCAGTGTGAAAATTCAATCACAATTGTCAAAGATCAAGCTGCTACTTCTGATAACAAACATGATGAGATATCATCTTGTTCAATATATGCCTTCAACTTGACATGTGTGCTAATAAAAAATATGAAGTTGTGGTATTTATTTTGTTTCTTGTACAACAGAAGGCTCCTAACAGGGATGATCAAAATATCCAGTATCGTTGACTAAAAATATAGTCAGCCCTATTATCTAGAGACAGATTAACAGGTATATAGCTTGACTATAGTAAAATACTAGCAGCAGGCACTGTATTTGCAAAGGGTTTTAAATCATTATGCATCAGCAACTGTGTATCAATATGAGAGGATATCTATTTTCAACTACACAATAACACTGTCTTTACACAACATTGAATGTACTGCATTGTGCACTGCTATCCATTCAAAAGCTATTTATTCAGCATTTACTATTGACCAAATACTATAAGAGGCAATTCCACTTCATCAATCAGACCTAACCTCTTGTCTCCACCTCTCTTTGAAGGAAGGCAGGAGGGAAGATATGTGGTCAGCTTCTTGTAAGCTGGTCCTGGTTCTGAGATACACACGCAACCTGAAGCCAGAACAGGTGCTCAGCAGTATGAAGCAAACTCCAGTAGGCTTCCACGTGTGGACTTAACTTCTCCGCTGTCTCACCCCTGGCCCTGTTTCTCTTCCTTGGCTTCCCTTCTCAGGGGAAGTCTGAACTGGCAGCCTTGCTTGCCTCCGTGCCCTTCAGCCTCCAAACTCATAACCATCACGCCTCCCAATTCCGAGATGGTCCTTAGACGTAGACACTTCTCTCCCTCCCCTCTACCCCTCTGCAACTACCTTATTCAGACCTCCATCATCTCAGAGCACAGTGACCACTTCAGAGTGGACCCTCAAAGATATGTAAAATATATAAAGGAGGCAGCTTCAACCAGATGCCTTTTAAGACACTGAGGTAAGAGACTGTTGTTTGTGGTTTAGTCACTGAGTCATGTCTGACTCTTTTGCAGCTCCATGGACCGGAGCCCACCAGGCTCCTCTCTCCATGGGATTTTCCAGCCAGGAATACAGGAGTGGGTTGCCTTCTAGAAACTAGGGACAGGAAACACCAAAATCAGCCTGAACTCATCTCTCTTTTGAGCAACAGCTTCAAACATGTCAGCAGCAAGGAATTATCTTTGACTCCTCCATTTTTCCTTTCCCATCCCCAGCTATCCTCTCAGCTCCATTTCCCCTGGTGCCCTACTAAGTTACGTGACACAGGTCAGCCAACCACTGAGTCTCTCCCCACTGTAACCCCCCAACCCAATGCTGTCCAATAGAACAGTGATGGAAATGTGCTATATTTATGCTGTCTGCATGTATGGACACTCACTCACTTGAAACATGCTAAGTGAGACTGAGGAATTAAATTTTTAAGTTTATTTAAATAGTAATTGATTGAAATTTGAAAAGTCATGTATGGCTAATGGTGACAGTACTGGAAGGTGCACTCTGCCTTTCTTCCATACTGCTGCTAGAATTATCTTCCTGGAAGACAGATGATAATGTCACTTGACCTACAGAACTAACATGCCTTCATAAAGCCTTTACCATACAGCATGACACCTAAGCTCTTCACCATCGAGACAAACTTACTATTTCATTTCTATTTTCTCCACTCCTCCTCCATCCAAAAGGGAAAGTGTGAGTTGCTCAGTCGTGTTTGACTCTTTGCAACCCCATGGACTGTAGTCCACCAGGCTCCTCTGTCTATGGAATTCTCCAGGCAAGTATACTGGCATAGGTTGCCATTTCATTCTTCAGGGGATGTTCCTGGTCCAGGGATTGACCCCAAATCTCCCGCACTGCAGGCATATTCTTTACCATGAGCTACGAGTGAAGCCCCTTCAGCAATAACTGATCACTTGGTATACTCACACATGCCATGATATAACCCTTTATATGAACTGTTGATGCTTTTTTAGAATGCTTTTTCCTCTCAGGGAATATCCACTCATCCTTCCAGATCCAGCTCAAAGTCCTGCTCCTCTCTAAGTGAGTAACTGCCCTTCCTTAATCCAGCCAGCCATTCTCTCTTAACTATGCTGCCATAACTTTTGTATACAGGTTCACTGAGATATTTAAGCATGCTTAATGGCTTACCTATGAAAAATATGAATCCCACGTATCCCAGATAAATATTAATCATATACATAAAGTGAGATGATGAGGACAAGCGTTTTACACAAGAGTAAGTAAGCACTGTGTAAATGTGCAGTCTTTAACACATGTATTATGAATCCCATCTTAATACTTGCTAGGGATCTTCACTGAACATAGCAGGCTAAGAAAACAAGGAAAGAAGAGTGAAAAGATGGCTATGGGAGAGGAGAAAAGTTTGCAAGGCACTGCTACCAAAAGGAGGCATAAGCCAGGGGAACGTGCAAGAAAAGCCAGGAAAGCACCAAGAGACTAACCACTCAGTAACCCACAGCTAACGCTGAGCCTGTTTCTTGCCTCTCCTATTAAACTGGCAATAACAATAATCAAATTCCTTAATCAGGGAGTGTAGATATGGCCAGGTCAAGAACAAGAGAAAGCTTTTCTTGTGCTGTATAACTAAGAAGAATTTGTTGTAAGCAGATCAATAAAGCACTATTACTATGGCCCGCTTCTTAAGACAGAGCTCTGCTATATAAAACACTGAATGGATTTTCTGTAAGAAAATTTAACCTACAGAAGAACCTGAAGGAAAAAAAAAACCTCTAAACTTACTAAATTTTCACCTCCTCCAACATTATATTTAAATAGAAATATTTCAAAATCATTAATGACATCTGAGTTACGTTTATTCCTAATATGACTTTCCTTTTATATAAAGCAGTCTCAATTTTCTTTCCCTTTAGTCAGCTTTCAAAAACGAAAAACGCAAAGAAACATTTAAATAGCCGAAGGTAAAACTTTCAGTGGCAATCACAAGCAATTCTCAATATATATACTATCATATGCAGGTATTTATACTGAATGAATATTAGGCTTAAATATTCCATTTCATCAGTTTGAGAAACCATAGATTTACAACACAATTTTGCTATTAAACAAAAATCCTTCATGTGAATTTGCAGATCAGAGATAATTAATATTTGGATTTAGTTCAGAAGTTGAGTAAATAAGCTCAGTTCACTCTGGGTTTGGGTTGATGGTTCTGTTTAAGTTATTGACAATGAGCATATCAAACTAAAGAATAAATAATGTAGTCAGGGCTGACATTTAAGAATAAGTGTTCAGAGGGAGGTGATATATGTATAATTATGGCTGATTTGCGCTGTTGTATGGCAGAAACCAACATCACATTGTAAAGCAATTTTCCTCCAACTAAAAAATAAATTGGAAAAACAAATAACCAACTCACTTTACAGAGAGAGCTAAGGTTAAATCCGAAGGTTTGCGCATTCCGGGAGCCGGCATTCATGTAGTTTCCCATTAGCAACACCAGCTCCAGCAACTTGCTGAAGCCCCGGCTCCTCCTGATGTCTTCGCAGGCGGCGCTGACAGCCATGATGTCAGGCTTGATGCTGTTCACCTGCTCTTCAAACTGAAGCTTAAAGAGAACAGCACTGAGCCGCGGCCGGAGTCTCTTCACACTGCTCATCTGATTGAAAAGAAAATAGCAGATTTCCTTTAAAATGCATGGTATACTTTAGTACTGTGTGACTGCAAGTAATCTGGGATGATTTATTGGTATGACAGTACAGAAGAAGCAATATGTCCCCTAAAACTGATAGCAGGAAGAGAGAAAAACCCTGCCTGCATGTTTTTGTGAAGAATCCAGAGTCATCCCTCAAAGAAAAAATTAACAATTTAAATGCTCGTTGAAAAGAAAGCTTCAGTTAAGTGACAACATTTAACTGAGTAATAAAGTACATATACTTTTTAAAAACACAATTTTTAAAAGGTAACAGGATATAGATGCAACAAATTACAGAGCACTCATACATAGCACTGCTTTAACTTTTATTCAATACTGAAATATGCTTGGTCATATTTAACAGATTCAGACAGGTCTAAAGAGGGTTTGTTTTCTTTGAAGAGCAACTGCTGTCCACAAGAACCCTGCTGACTAACAGTATGTGTTACATCAAAGGAGAGTAAATAGGTCCCAATTTGTGCTAAAGTGACTTCCTTCAGAAACACAGGGCTGCAGAGGGACCCCTGGCCCGGGCTCGGGGCAGGTGGGGCTGGGACGCTCGCAGAGCAGGGGGCCAGCGGCAGCCACCAGCCACACACGCTAGAGGCCCAGCCGGGACCCCAGCTCCTGGCCTGGGTGTGAGAGGGGCTGAGAGCGTCACAAGGAACAAGCGGCTCAGAGGCCAGCAAGCTCTGGCCTCCAACCTACCCCCAAACCAACCCGAGCAACACACGAGGGGAGGAGCCAGAGGACCTGGGACGTACCCTGTTTAAGTTACACTTGAACTCTTTGACCAAACATATTAGAAATTTGAGACAAAGTGGACTGATGGGACAGCAGTAGCAAAACCAGTGAACTTCAATAACAATCATAAACATCAGCATTTTGAGGCAAGGTCAGGGAAAAAACAGTGACAGAATATGACAGGATTAAAATAGGAAAGAGTTGTGTTTGTCACAGACCCTGAAGGAAAAGCTAAAAAACAACAACAACAACAACAACGTCATGTGAAGCTTATAGTATTTCATTAAGGAGACAGAAAGCTATCTGCTTACAATACAATGACTGTTATTTAAAATAAAATATGCCATACAAAAGCCTGAACTTATTAGACTATAACAGGACACTACAGATACCACCTTAATAACAAAGAAAGATGACCCAGTTAACTCATCTAACAAAACCAGAGCAATAAAGAGCTCTCAGGAGATACCTCTGAGAGAATCGTCAGATGAACAGAACTCTTAGAGTTACTAAATACTTTCTCAGCAAATAATTTAAATATCTAATGTACATATAGTATCCTCCCACTCACTTGACCTGTTAAATGCTTACGCATATACAATCAAGACTCTAAAACCTAAACTAACACAGTTATTAAGAAGTCCCTCTACAAAGTACTCTAAGGAATGTCTTAAAATTCCTTGAATTCAAGCAATGTCTTCAAGCTCCCATCTAGAGAAAATATTTTCTCCTAGAACAAAGTATAGAAACTGTAAGCTCAAAAGGGACAATTTTTTAAAGTACAGGAAACATTACTAATTATTTTATAGAGTGGTTCTAGTAATAAAAATAAATTTTAGAAAAACAAAGTGAAGCCTTCTTAGGATACCCATTCTTCAGTTCAGTTCAGTTCAGCCGCGTCCGACTCTTTGCGACCCCATGAATCGTAGCACACCAGGCGTCCCTATCCATCACAAACTCCCGGAGTTCACTCAAACTCATGTCCATCGAGTGGGTGATGCCATCCAACCATCTCATCCTCTGTCATCCCCTTCTCCTCCTGCCCCCAATCCCTCCCAACATCAGGGTCTTTTCCAGTGAGTCAACTCTTCGCATCAGGTGGCCAAAGTATTGGAGCTTCAGCTTCAGCATCAGTCCTTCCAATGAACACACAGGGCTGATCTCCTTTAGGATGGACTGGTTGGGTCTCCTTGCAGTCCAAGGGACTCTCAAGAGGCTTCTCCAACACCACAGTTCAAAAGCATCAATTCTTCGGCACTCAGCTTTCTTTACAGCCCAAGTTTCACATCCATACATGACCACTGGAAAAACCATAGCCTTGCCTTGACGGACCCTTGTTGGCAAAGTAATGTCTCTGCTTTGTAATATGCTGTCTAGGTTGGTCGTAACTTTCCTTCCAAGGAGTAAGCGTCTTTTAATTTCATGGCCGCAGTCACCATCCGCAGTGATCTCAGTGGGCACAAATCATTGTTTGGACATTGTATGTGCAAAAACAGACAGAAAGTAGACATAAGCTGTGATTACTTCTAAGTCATTTCATTTGTTAAACAATGTTTCCAAATGCACTTATTTACCTGCAATTTGTGTCCTTAGTTAAATATTAGAAATTTACTATTTGTACGTAACTATATTGTACTGGACCAATTCTGTATGATACTCTTTTACTTTTAATTCAGCCTTCAGAACAACAAGACATACAAGGGAGTAGTCACATGCACACATACAGTTATAGCCATTCAGAAGGTATATTATGGACCCACAGCCATCTTTGCTTTCAATCTATGCCCTCATTAATGATTCTGAAGTCATGTATTTTGTACTTTGCTATAAACAAGAACCATGAAATTAAAAGACACCTGCTCCATGGAGGAAAAGCTAAGACCAACCTAGACAACATATCAAAAAGCAGAGACATCACTTTGTCAACAAAGGTCCATCTAGTCAAAGCTATGGTTTCTCCAGTATTCACATACAGATGTAAGAGTTGAACTATAAAGAAAGCTGAGGTCGAAGAATTGATGCTTTTGAACTGTGGTGTGGAAGAAGACTCTTGATGCTGAAGCTCCAATACTTTGGCCACCTGATGTGAAGAACTGACTCACTGGGAAAGACCCTGAGGTGGAAAAGATGGAGGGCGGGAGGAGAAGGGGATGACAGAGGATGAGATGGTTGGATGGAATCACCGAGCTGCTGTTTATGAGGTTGCAAAGAGTCAGACATGACTTAGAGACTGAACAAAAACAACAATAAACAAGGAAAGAATTCTCTAATCCCTGATGCAAAATATTATTGCAAAATATATTAATTTTAACATATATTAATATACTATCTCATGTGCAAAGAGAAAATAGACTACCTAAAAGCCTATATTAAACTACCCCAAAGTATGTTAAAGCTTTCCTACTGACAAGCTCACCATGTGTAGCCAGTACAAAGTAATTAATTTTCCTGAAAAAAATATAACCTAGATTTATATGAGTAATGAGTCTACCTGGCACTAGGGACAGGTTCCTTGAAAAAATAGAGTAAGTCTGATGTAATGCAGTAAAAAGTGCTATGAGTTTATGGAAAGTCCCGACAAAGCAAAGTCAGGAAGGATAATGTAAACAGATCTTTTAACACTTTTTGTAATTAGATATCCTTTTCATATTGTTTTTTGCCTCCCAATTTTGGAAAGTTAGTATTTTGACTGATACTAAACAAATGAATTTTAGTGAACAAAATTACCATATTGGAAAGGAACTTGAGAAATCACCAGAACTCGAGCCTGTTTATAGTCTACCATTCAGCCTACACTGATGCCCCAGACCAAATGGCTTTCCCTTTTATTTAATAGAAGAAAAAGACCTCAATGAAACCTAATGTTCTAAGACCTAAATCTTGTGATCTATAAAGATAACAGCAGTTATTTTTCTTATTGGTCAAATCAAAGTCTATTTCTTCAGATGGGATCAAAGAAAAAAGGCTAAAAATAAAAAAAAATTTTTTTTTTTAATCCTGAAGGTTTCTTTAGCCCTTCACACGCTCTTTCAAACTGGACATATACACTCTGGTTTCCTTGCTCAAAACTTTAGAACTCTGACTTGTCTGCCAAAGACTAGACTGGATGGAGAAATGGAGAGCTATGATGCTCAAAAAATACTCTCAAAGCTAACAGAAAGTCATTAAAAAAGAAAAAAAAGGAAAGACTACTACAAAAGTTAACTATAAGATAGCAAATAATTAGAAGGTTAGAACAAATTAGAATTCATTTTTTCCAGAGGTATCCTTTACATTTATTACTAGAGGGTCTTAGCAATGTAAACTCACAACACCAAAATCTGATAACACTGAGTTATATACTCTGGAGATCAAACTAATGGCATAAAAAAGAAAATAAAAATACTGTGATTTTACTACCTTTTTTTAAAATTTATTACTATTTTTTGAAGGCAGCAAGTAGTGTTCTGGCAACCACCCCATCACATGACCACAGATGTCACACGCCAGAATAAAAACACCTAAGAATAGAGACTGGATAAAATTGAAACCAATATCCAGAACACAAAGGGTAATTTTTATTTCAAGATTTTGTTCATTGGCAATATTTGTATGGTTGGAGCAGGTACAAAGTAAGACGAAAAGACCTTTAGAAAATCAATGAACCAACAAGCATTGACTGGGTGCCCACTCAGTGCTGTGAGCTGCACAGAAGTCGTGGTTGCTGCCCTTGTATCATCGAATTCTTGCCATCTGTCTTAAAGGGCAAAAAGGAGGAAAAGTCTTCCGGGAGATATAATCTCCCATAATCTCATTATGGTTATGTTTTTCATGTATAATTTTAATTTTATCTATTATTTCACGGAGGAGAAAAACAGAATCTATTTGACATTTTTATACCAACTACATTTAACACCATATCTGGTCCTCTTTATTCAGTTTCTTTTACAAACATGGTATTTCAGGAGCAAACTTTTTCAAAACTTGTTGGGTTTTCCCCCACTTCTTGCCTGCAGCCTTGTGCAGGCGCACCTCACAAGACATTTGAGAACACACTCCATATCTTTATTATTCTTCCCTAAAGTTGTAAGACCAATTAATCATTCATTTGACTTTCTAACATAAGTAAGCTGATGACTGAAAAGCTACTAGTTTGAGTCTTAATTTACTTATCAATACTGCTTTAAACCTTTACTTTAGACACTTTCTAAATACATAATTACAAGGAATAATGGGACAGT